GGCAATTTGAGAACATAACGCTGAGACAAATGTCAGCAATGTGGCTTGACAAGATATATCAGAGCTGTGTCCCATGCTGTAGAGGTACAAATGTTTAGACACTGTCTTTCAGCAAAGCCAAACTTAGTTTCTGCTGTTGAGGAAAGGAGAGGGTGTATATGCTGCATGCCTGTGTTTCAATTGTATGCATGTTTTCCTTTATCTCTCTCATATTTCTGTTTACCTTATTATCTACAACACTTTTAAAAACCTCTCATGCTGTCATGCCTCACCTTGAACACACTTGGAGAGATCCCGAAGATTGAAGACATAGTGGGACTTAGCTGGAGTGGGCAGCAGATCTACACTCAAACGGTTGTAGATCTCCACAGCTGCATCCACAATCTGTCCAGCACAGTCCTTCACAGCCTGGGAAAACTCACTGAGGAAACCATTCAGGATGGCCTAGAGGAATGTTGGAGAGGAAAAGACATTGTAACAAGCATGAAAGAAGCAACCCAGTGTGAATAAAGAATTAGCAATAGGAAGAGGGGTGAAGAGAAATGACAGAGTAAGAGAGCAAGAGCAAGATATCAGAGAGATACACGTACAAATTGCATTCTGGTCACGTAAAAATGCTGCTAGACCACTTAAAAATAATTCAAGCTTTTTTACCTTAAAGTATAGGAGAAAATACTGTATATAACAAAAAATGTTTACAAAAAAAGTGTCTGTCTGTGTAGCATATCCTCACCCCTGCACATGTGACAATTCACTGAGGACAATAACTCTGTATATTCTGTGTATTTGTGTGCCTTTGTGTGTGTGTGTGTCTCCTGACTTTGAATATCTGCTTGAGGCTCTGTTCTGAGGGTGTGGGCAGACACAGCATGCTGAAGTGGCGGATGAATCGGGGGGTCACAGGGTTGCGTCCCCCTCCTGGAGGAGCACATGCTGCTGTAATGGTCATTTCCTAAAAGACAGTGAATGGGTACAAAGGAAATTATAAAAGATATGAAAATATAAACAGGATGGATTTTATCAGAAACTCAACTATCAAAAGTCTCCAGTAGTAACAGGAACAGTATTTCTGCTGCTCTGAACCTTTTCATTCCATCATCTGGAAAATCATAGAAAGTTCAGCAACTATATTAGCATTTTTTTAGAATAAAAAAATCTATTAGGGCTACATGTGCCTTATGTTTTCCTGATGGGAAAAAAAAAATGCCACTGAGGGCAATTAGAGTCGCCATTCAGAAATGGTCAGGATGCCTGAGAGGACAGGAGCATGTAGAAAAATATAGTTCCTTCATCTCTAGTTGTTGTTCAAGTTGCAAACTTATATTAAATCCCAACCTTGACATATTGAATGCCAGGAATAAAACTTAAATGAATAAAAGTACGTCACACTAAGGGAAGAGTGAATGGAAAAGTATACTGAATAAAATAGTAAGTTGATTGCTTTAATTTTGTTTCCAGATGAAAATCACGTTACCCTACCTCTTTGACAATTATAACCATTGAATTTCCAATTTAAAATAATGATACTGCTACATGAAAGTATCGACAGTATACAGTATATGCTGATTGCCTCTGTATGACCTTTTCTGACTGCAGTGTAGTGCATTACCACACAAGATTAATCACATATACAGGTATGGTTTGTCCTAAATTTCTTGCCAATGTGCAAATCCTACATCATTTACACACCTGCACACCAACACATGTACACAGATTCAACTGCATTATAAGACTTCAAATGTAGTCTCAAGTTTAATCAGTCTTGGGCTTGTGCTTGTATAGCACAAGTTACAGTAATGAACAAAACATTCTATAAATACAAAATGGCTCCCTGACATTAACGCATATACACATACAAATACATATATACAAAATGAATGTATTTTTTACTTGCTTGGACATTCTTCATTAAAATTCCAACTAAAAAACAAGTTGATGCTGTGTAAAACAAAAACTACAATGCTATATCTACAGTTTTTAACTTAACAGAAATCTAATCTTACACAAATCTTGAACACTAAAAAAGCACCCCAACATTTTAAGAAATACAAAAATTCCCCAAATTAAATGAGGACATTGACTTAATTTCTTTGAGTTTGTATTGCCTACAGTAACTGAAGGTCGGTGCTGTCCCTGCAAGGCACTGCTCTGGCCACTGGGAGCAACTTGTGGTTCAGTATCTTGCCCAAAGACACTTCAACACGTGCTCTAGAACAGGAATCAAGCCGCCGACTTTCTGGTTGGGGGACGACTGCTCTACCTCCTGAGCCACAGCTGCCCCGAGCTACTAATATCATTATCCCAACTTTTGACATAATGATACAGCTCAGCTTATTTATGTATGAATACCTGGATCTCCTTCCAGAAGAACGTGCTTCTGTCGTAGAAGCCTGAAAAGTCCTGGAACTGACGCAAAAGTTCGATGGGGGGCTGAGAGCCATAACTGTCCAGCTTGGGCATATTCAGGTCATCCACAAAGACCACTAACTTCTTATTACCAGGAGCACCTATGGGGTGGGAGAAGCAAAAAGGTGTAAAAAGAAGGAAGCTCTAAGGGCTGACATATGGAAGAGTGGCCAGAAAGTTGCCATGAAGATGAACTGAGAAACCAAAAAGTGAAGGACAACTGTATGAACAGATGAATGGATGGCTAGATGAACAGACAAACTGTTTAATTTAAGTAAAATGCCAGTGGTTTTATATGTTGTAGCTCATTAAGTAAACATTACTACCAAGTTTTAAGGCAGACCTTTTTTTTAACTTTGCAGTATACTGTGTAAATGATTGTATATTAATGCAACTTAAAACCAATACCCAGAATGTTTTTCTTCTTTTTCTCCAGTTTAGACTCAATGATCTCCTGCGTGCGAGCAGAGGAAGTCTGAGCAGAGAAGTTGATGTAGACTGGAAGGTATCCTGCCTTTTCCTGGATCTTGTTGAGAACGCCCCGAGCTACCACTGACTGCAAGGGATAGTCACAAAGAAATTCTTTAACAACACTGACACTAATTGCTTCTTGTCTACCAAGGCTTTTTCTTGGGACCTCTTGTCTATACTTTATGAATTATAACAACAAATGTTTTATTTGTTTAAAAAGCATTTCAGTAATTCTTTTGAAAATTCTTGTGAAGACTAAATATTTTGGGTTCTTTTATTAACTTCATTCAGTGCTTCACTATGGAAAATGCCTGAGTATGACCAACTATGGAAGCTCCAATGACACAACATCCATCTGTGGCCGATTGGTCAAGTTGTGTTCATGGATCTGCCCACCTCATATTATCGTAGTTGACCAGCCCCTCCTCATTCATTTTCACTTTCTTTCCATTAAACTACAGGTTCCCTCAGTGTATCCAGGCCACATTGGTTAGCTGCTCACAGCAGTCAAGGATGAAACTTAAAGGAGCACGTCACCAAACGCGGGTGCCCAGATTAAGTCTGGATCATGCACTTAACAAGAAGTGTATTAAGTGGCTACACAGGTTGCTTTGGAACAGTGACCGTGTCAACGTGAGCTATCGTGCCTCATCAGCTGGACTCATGGTCTCCTAACCCTGCTCTTTGGGATGAAATCTGTATAATAAAACTCTTACACTCCTCCAAGGAAGCAGCCCAGGGCTGATATCAAGCAATGGGACTGGCAGTCTCGGGTGAGAGAGATTATAGTGTATTAGCAATAGGGAAAATTATAACACAACTCAAACACAAAGATCTAAAGCTAACCAGTAATTAATATTTCACTATTTTTCAAGTTCTCTTTTGAAAGAAGGGTGCTGCTTTTACAGTGACAGTGAATTTACTGAAAAGTCTAGTGATGCCAGAAGCACTACTGTTGGGAACTGAGCTCAGGCATCTACTGTAGTAGGTCACTGATGACTCTTTAATGCCACTAGATATAAGGACATAAGTGGGCAAATGGTCATCCCAATCATACTCTACCAAGGCTTTCTTGCTACTATTTAAAATACTGCATATTACTGTGTCAAAGCAGGTTTTACTGTATTCTATTAGTTCTTACCTTTCCCACTCCAGTACTGCCAGTGAAAAGTACAGAACGTTGCACAGATAGTAGTTTCTCCATCAAATAGCCATAGCGGACAGTGTCTGTGGTAGGAACCAGCATCTCAAAAAAGGGCTGTTCACTGTTGTATTTAAATGAAGGGATTATTGTCTCCCATGGCTCCAGACAATTATGGTTAAAGTTCATGTACACACTCCACAGGGTACCATACTTCAGGAGCTACACAGCACATAAAAAGGCACATTAATCAACACACATGCAAACAATTTAGGCACTGAATTTTACAAAAAGACATACAAAATGCTTGGTCTATATGTCATAGTGTAGATGTAAAAAGCTTTAGAAAGGAGGCACTAAAGAAACTAATTTTACTCCACTGTTGAAGCCTTGTTTTGAGACTAGTTTCTGTTATGTGGTGCTTTGGAAGTTTCCCTGTGGCAAGCGAATTTATACTGTTTCCTGATTCCTGCTAAGGTATGCATGCAGTACACTTTCCCTCAAGCATCACAGCTGGGAGTTGCCTGTGTTGGCTTCATACACAGCTCTCTGATGCACAAATTATTAAGCATTCACAAAACACACACCACTATAAACACAACATCAGTTCCTTATCAGATGAACAGATGTGGAAGCAGGTGGGAGGTTCCAGATGTAGCCTTCATGACCCTTTCACTTTTTGTAGTTGCTTACTCTGCCTTCAGGGAAGTGAGACATGCTCCTATCCTACTGTCTTCTGCCTCAGTAATACATACCTTTAATCATCTGCCCTATTGCCAGATAGACCTCTCAAACAAATTAACTTTCTATTTCCTGTTAGGGTGAAGGACTCAATATCAGCCACCACCTTCCTTCATACATTTATCTGTCATGCTTTACAAATAAAAAAAGATTTCTTCCATTCCATAACCCATGATTCACAATTCTCTACAGCTGGCAAGGCAGACTAATGATTTGCAATGAACTTTTAAAACCTTGGCACAAAGCTTATCCTTTTTATCTGATTTGCCTTTCCAATAGACAGTATTGCTAGTAACTTATTGAAGGTACTATTAAAATACACAATATGTATGCTCTTTCTTAATGTCTTAATTTCATATGGCTGATATTATAGTAGAGTGCCAAAATACTTTGATGAAATTTATAATATGAGACAGTCTTCAGGACTTTCACATATTTCATGGCAGGGTTGTAGCAGTCTGACTTGAGTCCAGACTTTTAGGACTTATGACTTGACTTGGACTTGAGCACTGATGACTCAGACCTGGACTTGGACTAGAGCATCAACAGCATTCAGATCCTGAAGTTGGAGATGAGGACTCAGAGTTTTTTTTGTAATAGACCATAATAATTTGAGCTAAGATACTGATATTAAAACCTGTTCACCCACACCATGCTGTATCTAGGACACTTCAATTTCTTTATTTATTTGTGGATGTGTGGATGTGTGCACAGCTAAATACCTTAGCATCATTGTTGTCTTGAAACTGCTCTGTAACAAAGGTGTCAAATCTATCCCAGTGAGAACTGGTCAGGTTGCCACCTACTGCCCATAGGTAGCAGAATATGAAGGTCTGACATAATACACTGTTGAGATCCTTGGAATCCTGATATACACACAAATAAAAAAGAGTAAGGTCAATCAGTAATTAATGGCATGATTTAAAATTAAGTTTACACAATAAAATATGCTCTTTTCAAACACAGTGAATTTGTGAAGTCAAATTTGTGATATATTAATGTCATATGTGGTTGAAGTAAAGGCTCTGCCTTTGCCTAATTGCCATCAAACATTGTCAATAACACCAGATCTTTCAAAGCTGAGTTGTTGTGCACTAACAGACTGGACCTTGTTTGGCTCCAACTAAAGCAGACCAAAGTGAAAGTAAATCTTTGTTTAATGTACCATTTTAAGTTCTGGCCCTCCTTTGCCCAGCAGCAATGCCTCCAACAGGGCACACAGAGTGGTGACCTTACTGATGTCCACCTGGCGAATTGCCTGGGTACAGTGCTTTAATACAAACTGAAGGCCCTTCTCCACATACTGATCAAACAGCTCCAGCAGGTATGTGCGCACTGGGTCTGGGAGCTAGTGAAACAGCAGGAAGTGAAGAAAGAAAGAAGTATTCAAAGTGAATGTAGGCAGAAGGTAGTATGTAGGTAACAATGATTTTTATGGAAACCATTATCTACATGACCACTGAAATAATGTCAACAGTTACAAAATATATGGGGTATGCTCTCCTTTTGCCAGAAAGCCAAGGAGAGTCAGACTGACTCAGCTAAAACAACTAAGTGAAAATCAATACAAAACTAATTAAAAACTCAAATAAACTCTAAATTTAACAACTCCACAAACTGGCTGCAAGTGTAATTCAAGATATTCCTGATAAAGCAGAATGAAGCACTAAAACTAAGAAAAGAAAGACTCCTCCCAAAAAACAAAATGTTGCTTGTTAAAAACCAGATTAAAGTGCTCAATAGAGACCTGAAATAGTAAGAGGAGATACGTGTAGAAAGAAAAGAGGAGAAGGCAGAAACAAAACATAAAAGATAAGATGAAGACTGTCAACAAATAGAAGTCTTATTTAATGAGAAAGATGTGCTGTCATCAGTGTTTTTGCTGATGCTATAGTTCTGCTGCTTGTAATGTCTGAAAATGTGTATTACCATTCATATACCAATGAACACCCACATTTTCACACACACTAGAATACAAGAGCAATGACAGGGGCAGATGAAAATTTAAGCATAAGAAAGGATTCCTGAAGAAAACCATATATGATCAATATAACAATTTACATATACATATTACCTATGTGCCATTTTACTAAATATTTATTTATTCATGTACTTTATATGCTGTTTTCCCATGGGCATATTGCTAGTCTAGCTTTCTAGTTTCTTAATATGGAGCCAAAGGAAAAGTAATTTCATTTTGCTGTGCACCATGGGTATGGTTTGATGAGAATAAAGTGATTCTGACTGACTGTTAACACTGACCTGTGAGACCACGTTATAGTACATAAAAATCTAATTACCTTAACTTATAACACTTTAGAAGCAGTTATATGTAAAGCTTCAAACCCTATGCTCTAAGCATGCTTTTAGCAACTGTCAAAAGCATATTAGCAACTCTAATAACAATCAATTTTAAAATAAACAGTGAAATGACAGAGCTACAGTATGTACAACCTTGGCTCCTAGACCACTGATCCATGTCTGCACATAGGGCATCCACTTGAGCTCATCAGGATCAATATATACCATCCCACAGCGACTGACTGTGGCTGGAGATGCCACAGCCAAGTCCTGGACCTGAAAACCACAGTTAATGAAGGAGATTAAATAGCATGATCAAGGAGCATCAACTGCTGTAGAACCACACAAACACACTAAAGCAAACAAACTGCATCAACCTTTTATTAAAGCAATGACCTTTTACCTTTGGACCAATTTTCAACACTGTGCATATGAACTTGAACTGCTGCTTAGTGACTCCACAAAAACAAACCTCAAACACCATATGTATGAATGGAGTAAGCTTGATTCGTTCACTGTTAGCCAGACAGAGCATCTTGTTGTCATCCAGCACAGTGTTCATATTCTCAATCCAAAGAGCATCAACCGGTCCATCACAGATCACCCATTTGTGGTTGTCACTTGTGTCGCTGACCGCATCACGGACACTTAGTGCCATCAGTCCGTCACGCCACTCCAACGTTAGTGTGTTAACCTAAAGAGTTGAGGTAAACAGTGAATGTGTGCAGAGAGAAAAGTGAAGAAGCCATTACATCAACTCTTGCCTTTAGTACCTCTCCATAAAGCTCTCCCATTGTGACAGATTTTGGGTTGAGTACATAGGTCTTAACAGGCTGATAGAAGGGGTTCTTATCCTTATGCTCTGTGCAATGCAGGGTCTCCAGTGTGTCTGCCAGGATGGTGTAGACAGTGGTCTTACCTCCACCAGTAGGTCCAACTAACATCACACCATGACGTACTAGCATGGTCTCAAAGAGCTGAATCACCTGGTCAGAAGAAAAACAAACAAAAAAAGCAGAGAAATATGAGATGTTTCAAAGACGGACCTGTTATACATAACAAATACAGTGACTGGCCACTTTATTAGGCACACCTGTACAACTACATGCACTTCAATGCAACACTTCCACCTTAACATCTGTGTTTATGAAGCTCAAAATGTCTCAGTTTTTGGTGAAACTGTCAAATTTATAAATTCAATTATTTATTTATTACTGAGGTCAAAATTAAAAGTGATGTTGCACAGGACTACATTCAGAAGTGTATGTAGGTGGGGAGGACAAAAATATAGAGACACCTCTGAATATACAACACCACCTTTAACTATAACCTTAATAATAAACATAGAACTGAATTTATACATTTATGACAATTTCACCAAAAAAGAAACATTTTAAGCTTCATAAACACAGATGTTTAGATGGAAGCGTTGCACTGAATTGCATACATACAATTGTACAGGTGTGGGCGGCATGGTAACGCAGATATCTCAAAACCTTAACAAATCAAACTAAAATGTCTGCAGGCTAGATACCAACAGAGATCAGCAAATTCAATGAAAACTTCTGAAAAACAATGAGTTTCTCTTGCAAACAAGTATTAAACCTCTAATGTTGTCAAACAACTACTGTGAGTCAAATTCTACCTGCACTGTGTGACATGTTTATTTATTAGAATTATGCACCACAGTATTTTATACATATGTGTCTCATATACATAATCTTAGTGCCCTAAATGCTCACTTAGAAATGTATTATATTTACTAAGTCTATAAGAAAATTATAAAGGCTGTCTTTCATAATAATACTAAGTAGCTGAGACATGTTTGTAAAGATTTTACATTGAATGATCTTGGTGCTGAGTTCCACAGAGAGACAGGATGGAGAAGTCAGACTAGAGAGGTAGACTAATGAACTAACAAGCTTTTACAGTATTATGGGATTTGTTGACATGTAGGAAAATGAAGACTAAAGCCTAGCTTATCCAGTATATATGTCACTCAAAATCTTTAGCCAAAAACATACATAAATAGACATAAGTAATTAATTGAATACATTGAATACAATGATTTTCCCCTTGTACTATACCTTCTTGATCATGCTAGGCAGTGGCTGGAGGTTCCGCTTAACTAGAGACTCAAAGATGGTGGAGTGCAGCACACCATAGTCATGCTCAGGGATATGCACGCCAGGGAAAAGATCTGACAGAATACCACTGGAGGAAGGGTTGACATAATACACACACATACACAAAACAGAAAATAACACACATCAAGATGTAAAGGGCAGCACACCTTAGAATGCATCTTATGAATACTGTTGTTCATGACAAATGGTCTTTGATTTTGAGAGTTAGAAGTCACATGTCTGAAAGGCTTACCCAAACAGCACAGCATCATTGGTGAGGAACTTTGGCAGGTTGGAATCCCTCAGTGCTCTGATAAGAACCACATCCTCACTGAGGTGAGGGTTAGCTCTCTTTAGAGACCTAAGAGCACACATATCATTAGTTTAAAAATTATATTCATGTAAACTTTGTCATAAATTAAGCATTTTTTCAAAGTGGGTTATTTATCCAAATGTCACTGCAAGCTTACAAAAAATTATTATACAAAATGACTAGCTGTGTTTTAGTCATTAATGCGTTAGACATTAAGGTGGGAGATAATGAATGTGTGCTTAGCATGGAAAGAGCAGACTCAGAGGAGCAATATCTAGGCAAAGACATGCAATGAATCACAAGCCAATTACAGCAGTTCCCTGAGCTTCAGTTAATAACCAGCAGGCAAAAGCATGACTTTTACCACATACAGTCACCAGCATCAACTCAAATCTATTTATGCACCCATACAGACCAGGAATAATTCTGTTTTGACCATCTAACTAACTGACAATAAGTGTTCCTGCAGTGCAGTTCAATAAGACAGCTGTGTGTTGATCAGCAAATTTTCCATTTAACAATCGTAACTGTTTACAATAAACTCTGTATACTGATGCTAAATACACTGAATGCATTGGTGTGGGTGTGTGTGTGTCAAAGTCACAATGGTCAATCTGAGACATTTGTCTCCACATACAACTGAAAGCAAATGTGTGTCAATGTATGAGTGTGATGCTCTGACCCAGCCATAACCAGGACAGACTTGACAGCTCTCATGCCAAAGTCATAGTGGTCCTGCTGGGACAGCTGCTCGGAGCACAGCTTGTACATCTGGGTCATCTTCCTTGCTAAGGTCTTACTGGACTCAAATCCCTCTGAGTACAAAATGACCTGGAGGTACAGAGAGAAACAAAGGAATGATAAACTTTATGCAGACAAAATAAGCAAGCATATAACAATGCACACCCAGAGAGCCCATTACCTCAGCAATGAGTGCATAGTTTGGCACCATCATAGCTATGGGTCTAAAGAGAGCTTTAAGGTTGTCAGGTAGCTCTGTTCTTCCGGCGTAGCCTGGGTTCATGGTGATGAACACAGCACATGTCATCACCAGCTTGATCTCCTGGCCCTCAAATCGAAAACTTGAAAGCTGAATAACATATAGAGTTGAGTGAGATGTTTTTATGTGTGAGTATAATGTCTTCAATATCTTCACAAGCAAGTAGTGTTGCCGTGGCCTAACTGAGTTCTAATTTATGCAATTTGTATTGGCTCCCAAGCTGATGTACTTTCTTTATCTCTATCAACTTGGGGCCGACTGTGGTTCAGTGGGTAGAGTAGTAGTCTCCCAACAGGAGGTTTGAATCACGGTGTCTGCAGTCCACGTGTCAAAGTGTCCTTGGGCAAGACACTGAACCCCCAAGTTACTCCTGATGGTCAAAGCCATCGGTTGAGTTGGCGCCGCAGATGGCTGCCTCGGTTCTGTACCGGAAATAAATTCTTTGTGTGTAACATACTTGGCCAAATAAAGGTGATTATCCTAACCTCTGTCTGGTCATTCTGCTGTAAAGATCTCAGTGATGAACTGCTGCTGAGATGGTCATTCTTCCATCTCTACTGAAAGGCTCATTCTTACCCAGTTTGACCAGACAGCTGACTCTAGAGAGAATTCTGGTGGTTGCAAACATCTTCCATTTCATAACCTTTGAGACCACTGAGTTCTTAGGAACACTGAGCTTGAGAAATGGTTTTATACCCATGTAAATTGTGGGACCTTAAATATACAGATGCCTTTCCAAACTAAGTCCAATCAATTCAGTTTGCCACAGGTAGATTCCAGTCAAGTTCTAGAAATATCCCAAGGAAAATGAAAGCAAACAGGATGCACTGGGCCACAATTCACCATAGCACAAGTTCTGAAGTGCTTTTTAAATCAGAGATTTAAGTTTCTGATTTTTGAAAAATTTGCAGACATTTTGAAAAAACATGTTTTTATTTTGTCATTATAATTTACTGAGTGTAAACTAATTGACAAAAATGACAATTATATCATTTATACATTTAAATCTGCAATGCATTGAAGTGCAAAAAAATGGACTTTTTCTGAATACTTTCTGAAGACACTGTACATATAAAAAGATGTGATGTAGAAAACAGTCTCACAGTGACAAGACAGCAGACCATCATCACATTAGTACAGTGTCTAATCAACAAGACACTGACTCTGTGTGTGAGGGTGTACCTTAGCAGCTTTGGCATTTCTTATGGTCATGAGCTGTTGAGCGATGACAGACAGCACCTCAATATCTATTCGGTTAAATTCGTCAAAACAACACCAAGCTCCTGACTGAGCAAGTCCACTGAAGAAGCGCCCCATCATCTGGAAGAAGGACATGCAGCTGATTACAAACAAGAGATAGGAATATTACTTCCACAACATTTACAATAATAATGCAGTGATATATACATGGTTTGGCCTGTCATTTCCAAAGTATTGCCCATACACACACACACACACACACATAT